AATGGCTAGTTTCGTGCGTTAAACGGACAATAGATATCAGCCGAGTGCGGCTGCAGGGTGGCAGGACGGGACCGAGATAGGAGATCTAAGTGGGCCATGCCGCGCTACGGTTATGGCGGCATAAAACGCTCCGCTAGTGGTACCGGAGAGGGCAGAGCAGTCGACGTTGAGTATCGTAGAGAGAGCCCCTTTACGGCCGAAAAAACTGCCGCTATGATTGTCTATGCAAATTGTTTAAGATATCCCTGGGTCTGAGAGGCCGCATCTTTCTGGGGATTCTCGATCTTTTCTTCTCTCTCTCTCTCTCTCTCTCTTTCTTCCCTCGTAAGAAGAATCCTTCGAAGGATGCGCGTACCGCAACGGTTATCGTCTCGATGAGATAATGGAAAGAAGAGAAAAAGAAACGAGAGATAAAAAGGATGATAAATAAGCTAACGTCGAGGAACTATTTTTTATTTCTTTCTTTCTTTCTCTCTTTCTTTCTTCCTCTCTCTTTTTTTTTTTCTTTTTATTTTCCGACGTGTTAACAGGTCGCTTCGTGAGATTTTTCTTTTTACTTCTTTTTCTTCGTTTTCTTCTTTTCCCCTGTTTTTTCTTCTTGTTTTTTTTTTTTGTTTTCCTTTTTTACGCCAACGTTAATCACACGATTGGTTTAAAGTAAAAAATTTAATCGTTAATCGTTGATCGAATTAAATATTGCCCAAGACTAATATGGATGAATTAAAGATCGCAAGGAGATAGGGAGAACGTGTTGAGCCGGCTGAATGAAACGCATTTCATTATCGATCTCGATGTGCACGACTCCGATCTCTCTCTCTCTCTCTCTCTCTCTCTCTCTCTCTCTCTCTTTCACTCTCGAAGCACCGTTGGCCCGCCTTATTCCTTCCTCTCCGCGGGCCGGTAATGGTATTGCCGGTTTGTGGTTTGTATCGGCAGCCTTACCTACCTTAGATAGCTTATTGATTGCCTCGACTGCACTCCGCTCTCCCGTTACACGACAATGTAGAATATACGCTTCGCCTCTGAAACCGCCTCTGTGTTTCCGCGCGTATACCGGGTGATACCTTAATTTCATTACCTATTTTCTATCGATAATACTTAACGTTAAATATTAACCTGAAAATTAAACGAACATTTGCCCCTTTTTCTCTCTCTCTCTCTCTCTCTCTCTCTCTCTTCCTCTTCTATAAATACAAATTTAACGTTCCAAGTGTTGGTAATAATGTTTCACAATCCGACTCCACTATGATATACGATAAACGAGAGAGAGAGAGAGAAAGAGAGAGAGAGAGGGAGGAGAGAAAGAGAGAATAAAGAATTGGAAAAGCTACAAATAAATCGTGTTTCATGGAAAAGTCAGTTTTATCGCCAAAGAGGTTTCTGTATTCGCCACCCGATATATGTGAAACGAAGTAGCATAGAGCACAGAACTGGCAAATGTAATTTCGTAGAATGTTTCCATTGATATAAGAAGAGCAGGAGCTTGTTGGTACTTGGGAGGAGCGGCTGGGTATATGGAGTAGCAGAAAGAGTAAGAGAAAGAGAACGAAGAAGGAGTAAGACGAGGAAAAAGAGTAGGTGGAGGTGGAGGAGGTGGGGGAGGAGGTAGAAAATGGAAGAACGGAAGGAGGTGGCGGAAGGAGGAGCAAAGTCGCAGGAAACTGCAAGCTAGACGGATATATCTCCCGAGTAAATTAAAATGGATTATATATGTCGACTCCATCTTCAATCTTTATTCTTTCCAGCAACGGCTCGCAACCCCCTCGGGGCTTTGGTTTATTGCTCGCGGCCTCCTGCACCCCGCGGGTAATTGTTATTGCTCAGAAATGAATGTGCAGTTTTCTCTTGCGACGGCTCGGACTGGTACAACAGAAACGCAACGTGCACGGTCTTGATGTATTTTCTTTAGAGTTTGAGAGCCACGATATTTCCCATCGTAAATTTAACTTCGATGATTTCGCTTAACTATAGTTAACATATAATTATTTAGTAATTACCGATAAATTATTATTCTTGGCAAATGAATAAACGTAATCCAAAAGTGCATTTGACAATTTAATACGATAATCAATGTTTCTCAATTATGAAATATAATCATTCGTATATCGTTATCCTAAATAGTTTATCATCATCGTAAAAATATATGTATATATAGATGTAGATATAGATAGATACAAGAAACGATCCTAAAGCCGGTACATACGATTCTGGAAAGGCCAGAATCTAGCAAGGAGAATCTCGAGACACCGAGTCGACCATGATATATGCTCTTCTTCCGTCTAATTAAACTTAGGGAGAGTCGTCGCGGAGTTGCTTGCTACGTTGCTTCTCGTCGGACCCCGACGTATAGCGGAGGGCGCTCATCGGATAGCTTTCAAAATGACAAGCGAACTCGGAGGTGGAGCCTATAAAAGATGGTCACGAGTACGAATGCGACAAAGTTAGAGTCATACATATATATATATATATATATATATATATATATATATATATATGTATGTATATATATATATATATATGTATGTAAAATACATATATATATACTAGATATATACAGTAACTACGTAGGATTAAAACGATGAGGAAACGTTGCTTGTTACTGTCACGATACAAATTCACTTTTCGAACCTAATAATTATCGCTTCGATGATTTCGATCATGGTAGAAAGCAAATGTAATTCTTTGAAAGAGCATAGAAAGTTAATCAAGAACCGCCAGTGTTCATGCTCGAACGAATACGCGGAACGTTTATATCTATATTTTTTTACATATCCAAGTATAGATGCACTGTAGCTCATTATTCAAATTATCAGTCATTATTTTTTCTTCCCCTTCTTCATCTTCTTCTTCTTCTTCTTCTTCTTCTTCATCTTCTTCTTCTTCTTCTCTTTCGTCTTCTACGTTTATCAAGTAACAACTTCCTTGTTTTCTCTTTAATACACGTGTACCAATATAATCTACTTTCGTTAACGTTTCGCATTGATAAAACTTTTAAGAATAACTAACGTTTCACTTTCAATCGTGAAACGTTTGAAATTTCTCGGCTATAGTTCTTCTCTCGATCGCGTGCAGTTTTATCTAGTACTATCGTGAAATATCTATTAAACGAGCAAAAAGATGCGTGCATAAGTCGTACAAAAGTTTTCAAGCTTTCGACAAGGAAAACAAAAGGCGAACGAAAAAGAAAAGAAAAGAAAAAAAAAGTGAGGGAAAGAGGAGGTAGTAGAAACGAAACGAGAAAAAAAAGGAAAGGGGAAAAAAAAAAAGAAAAAAAGAAAAAAAGAAAGAAAAGAAAAGGAAAAAGAATTGGTATTATTCCGGCAATGACTGAAAATAAATTCTTGATTCGCTTAATCGTTCGTAATAACAACTAGATGAATGCGGCGCTAGAGTGAATCGAGCAACGATGAAAAACGAAGCCGCCGCCGGAGTCTTGACTCGGAGTGGTTTGCCAAACGTTTTAATCATAAAATCGATGCCCCTCAACTACTCCATCATTGGACCAATCGTAAAACAGTAAAATAGAACAATTCGAAATACCAAAAACATACGAAAGATTATCGTATCAAGTTGAATAAGAGAGAGAAAGTCACACGTCTAGGGACACTTTCGAACGCGTAAATACATACATCGAGTCCCGATGCACCATGGCTTACACTAAAATCCTTTTAACTTGGGACCATCCTGCCATTGGAAGCCGTTAACAACGCGAAAGCTCTCGGCGACGCGATTAACTGAGAAGCAGCGATCGCAACTGCGCGCAGCCACCAGTAGCGGTCTGCTCGTCTTTTCACGAGGGCGATATCGTCATCGTGCAAACAGCGTATATGCATTAAACCGTGAACCCACTATCCACGCCGTCATATCCAATACAGGTTGTGCGTTGCGGGGGTCGCAGGAGTCTCTGCTTGGAGGGTGAACGAGCATGTGTATGTATGTATATATGTATGTGTGTGTATGAGAATGAGAGAGAGAGAGAGAGAGAGAGAGAGGAAAGGTGCTGCATATATAGGGTGCTTTCGAGGGTGTCTGCCAAGCCACCCCTACACCTCCTACCCTCGTGCGGTAATGGCATTAACCGAGCTGCAATATGATTACCGCTCTCGCAAGGTAACTTGATCATACCCAAAATCTATGGGGTGTCCGGATAGGCGGTAGATAGAATGGTTGAGAGATAGACAGAGATAGACGGAGTACTATGCCGAAAAAAAGAAGGTGTCGTAGTCTCGGGAAAGCATTCACGCAATTGTGTCTCATTTTCCCTTGTTTCTTTCTCTCTCTCTCTCTCTCTCTCTCTCTTTCTCTCTTTCTCTTTCTTTCTCTACCTCTACCTCTACCTCTATCTCTATCTCTATCTATCTATTTATTTATCTCTCTCTCTCTCTCTCTCCCTTATTCTTTCTTTCTCCCCTTAATCGTAGTACGCTTTTTGCAGCTCGGATTACCCGTAAATCATTAGACGATGGAACGACCCTAGCTAGAATCGACGTTCCTTATCCGGGCATTAGGAGATTACTCTTTGCTCAAGCTCGTTTCTTTCCACTTAAGTTTCCTTCCTTCCTTCTTTCCTTCTTTTCGATTCGTTCTCTCGTTTTATTAAAAAAAAAAAAAAATGCTCTAATATATATAAACGTCTTTGGGTTTATTAATTCGCAAACGGCTTGTTTGTGGCGACGATAACGACAACGACGATGACGACAACGACGACGACGACAACGACGACGACGACAACGACGATGATGACGTTAGTCACGAAAGAAAAGAGAAAACGTTATGGTGCTAATGAAGACGACGAAAAGTAAGAAAGAGACAGAGAAATAGAAATAGAAAGAGAGAGAGAGAGAGAGAGAGAGAGAGAGAAAGTGAGAGGTTGGTATTATCGTCGGACGTTGACATATTGCGAACGAAGAACGTCGTCGTCGTTGTCATCGTAGTCGTAGTCGTAGTCGGGTGTTCGCAGAATGAAAGACAAACTTTAAGCGACCAAAGGAGAGACTCACCGTGAGGTGTTGAAACAGCCACGCCCTGAGAATGTTAGTCGCGACTTTCGGAAAGATTCCTCTCTTCTTCTGATTCTTCTTACCCGAGGAATCGTCGTCTTCCTCGCCCGTGCCCTCGCCACTACCGATACTCGCGTTGCTCGCGTCACCTGTAACAAGAAAAGAAGAATAATTTTTAATACGCACTTTTTATTTAATGATCGTATAACGAAAAGGAAGAATAGAACGTTAAGGAATCGCTAATAACATCATCTTCGTCCGATCACCTCGACGTTTCGACGCTTTCTGTTAGTTCGACCGTCCTTCGTTTAGATATTATAAACCTTGCTCTTGCTTGTAGTAATGTACCTAATCCAAATAGTTTGATAAATAAACAAAGATCTCTTTCTCTCTCTCGCTCTCTATCTCTCTCTCTCTGTTTCTGTATATACATATACAGAAGATCGAAGATTACAAGAAAGAAAAGAAAAGGAAGGATAAAAAAAAAAACAAAACAAAAAAAGTAAAAACAAACGTAATCCAAACGCCGATCGATTTAACGACTTAAATTTAAAGATACGAGAATGATTTTAAGCCGCGTCGCGATTTTCGAAGGTTGGGAGGAGGGAGGGATTGGCGGTGGGTAACCCGGTGGGCGATAACTAGCTTTGCCTCCACTCCGAACGCCAGTTCCCATGCATACAAACACCATTAAGCCACCCGCAATATCCCGGTTTCCCCCTTTTACTCAGGCTCCAGCTCCTTCCAACAACGACAACAACGACTATTCACTACTACTACTACTAATAATACTACTACTACTAATACTAATACTACTACTACTATGACAACGACGACCCTTCCATATCCCTCTGTATCCCCCATAACGCATTAATTCCCCGTCATTTATCAATCTTAGCTTTTTAATTGCACGTGACTCTCGGTCACTGGGGACTTGGTGGAGGCGAGACGGTAATGAAGGACATTAAGACGGCTTACGGTCACGCTTTACGAACACTGACAAGTCTCCTCTCGCTGATTTCTTCTTTCTATCGTGCATCCAATAATAACAAGAAATTGGTATTTAAAAATCATAATCATCGTAGAAATAAAGGTGAACGGGACGTTCTATTTTTTCTACGAGATTTTTGAGAGAAAAAAAATTTCACGATTCTCTTTCTCTCTTTCTCTCTCTCTCTCTCTCTCTCTCTTTCTCTCTCTCTTTCTCTCTCATGTTCTCAATCGGTGAAGAAGGAAAACGCGTCGCGCTACTTACGCCGACGGATTATAAATGACCGAGCTTTATCGTAATGCCCAAGGCTCTGAAGGTTCTATCGTAACAGAGAGATCAGGGTTAGCACGCTTCTCTCAGGGGGTTCAGAATGACAGGTCGCCCGGGGGTGCCTCCGTGTCCTCTACTTTCTCCCTCTCTTTCTCTCTATCGATGGCGGCATCACCGCACCGTGACCACCACCACTACCACCATCACCATCACCATCACCGGCACTGGCACCACCAACACCACCAGCCGAACAGCCTTTCAAAAGATCGCTCTCCTGCCCGAGATTAACTTTGAATTCGACGTACGAACCGAGGGAAGCTGGAGGGACGAAAAATTTGTCCGTCGTAGGAACGGACGGACCGGAACGACGGGAGATCGATGGAAATCGCTCCCGGAATACGACGCGTCCGTTTTCCTCTATTTTTACTTTGCTACTTTCCTATGGGAAGGGCGGGGAGGGGGGAAGGGAGGGAGGGAGGGAGGTACGAGAGAAAATGAGAAAATTTCAATCGATTTTCAAATCTCCATTTTCTACGTACCGTAACGCAAGACTGTACTAATGTTATTCCTATATCGTATATTTCCGTATACGATCCATATAAATGAGCGTTGTTTTCTTTTCTCTTTTTTCCTTTTTTTTTTTTTGTTGTTAATTATTTACTATCGCATCGTCGAAATGAAGGTACGTAATTTTCGTAGAAAATTCTCAATGCCAGCCGAACGTATGTAGCTAAGCAATTTATCCCATACAAGAGCAACAACAGCAACAACGTCGAGAAAACAATTACTATCGTCTCGGTCGATCTCAAGGAGCACACCATCCAGGACCTCCCGGCGACGTCTTCTTCTTTACCCATCTCCTTCGCGTCGCTTGTTTTCATTCGTCGGACAAGAAGCAAAGTCTCAAGAGAGAGAAAGAGAAAGAGAGAGAGAGAGAAAGAGAGAGAGAGATGATCTTACCACGAAAGACAAAAACGCGGCTACATCGTCGTCTCCGGTCCTTCGACGGTGGCTCCGTAATGGCGAATAGTCCCGTAGAAAATGGATAGAACGTTCTGCGATGTAACTAGTGAGAGAGAGAGAGAGAGAGAGAGAGAGAGAAAGAGAGAGAAAGAGAGAACAAGAGAAAGAGAGAGAGAGAGAGAGAGAGTGAGTGCTTGGAACGAGCGATGCGACTGGCCAGCGGAATAACGGAATGGTTAGTGGGAGCGTCCCTCTGATTGCAGTTAATTTACTCGACGAATCGGGTTAATGTAGCGTACAGACCGTATCGTGCGGCACCGTATACGAGCATAGACGTACCGGTAAAGAGGGTTTATCTCATTTATTCGACGATTGTCATCGCTGTAATGCCCGATTTCAAAACTGTCACCGGCCTCGCGAGTGGCTACAAACGGACACGACCCGAAATAATACAGTATCACGGGTTGAAAACGGGTTGGTAGAAGCGAAGAGAGGGAGGGAGGGAGGGATGGGGGAAAGGAGGGTAGGGGATGGAATTATTTTTTCATTATTCTTTTTTTCCCCACGAAAACAAAAAAAGAAAGAAAGAAAGAAAGAAAGAAAAGAAAAACGGAATAAAAAGGTTGACAGAGAAGTACGAAGAAAAGTTGACGGGTACATGGATACTTTTGTACTCGAATAATTCGTACGATTCGATAAAATATTTGCAAGAAAACATTATTTTTCGAACAACGTATAGAGGAACGAAAAGATGCGGGTGTTGTATGTGGTGTGTATAGGAGAGGGAGAAGGCGGGCGGGCGGGCGGGGTGAGGATGAGGGGGAATTTATATTGCTCGACGAAGACAAAGTTTATTTTTTATTCGGAGAAGGAGCTGTTAAGAGAACGCGTAATCCAGGCACGTTGTTATTTCGTGCGCGCGAGCTTACATACATTCATACACATGTACATATATATATATATATATATATATATATAGCCACACATTGTCGTTGCTAAAACGTATGTCGTATCTCGTAGGAAACCGATCAACGTCCCACACGTATCTCTATTCGTTCATACGTACGTACATATTCTTAAAGTCGATCAACTCTTTTCTACACTTGTCCTTAACCACCTACGTTCTATGTCGAGCGAGAAGGGAAAGACACGCCTCGTGTTCTATCTCTTGGGAATATTTGAAAAAAATTGTCGTAAGGTGTGGAGCTCGTCATCGTTCTGCGATCCGGTGAATGCTCGTTGGCGCGTGCAGTAAGCGCGAGGCACCGTTTACGAGGATGCGCATCGAGTTGGAAGGGCGCGTCAAGAGAGAGAAAGAAAGAGAGAGATAGAGAGAAAGAGAAAGATAGATAGAGAGAGAGAGAGATAGAGAGAGACAGAGAGAGAGAGAAAACGAGTGGTGGTAGCTCGAGCGAAGCCATATCGTCCTCGGCTTGATTTATGCGCCGCACGCAGCATTTTTACTGTCGCTTTATAGAGATTTAAGTGCGGCCAATTATACGTTTACGCCGAGTCCGTGAAATGTGAGTAAAGTACGGCGGGGAGAGAGTTAACAGTTCTCTTGTTCGTTCCCCCCTCTTTCAAAAATCATTGATACGTCTATATTAATCGTATATTTAATATCATTATCATTCGATGAGACGAAACGTGAACTATAGGACCTTAAGGGCGTCCACGAAAATTTCATGACGCTTCTTTCGTTTCTTTCTTCGAAATGTCTCGGCTATACTTAGCTTAGCGGGATCGAGAATAAGCCGAGCCTATTTCCAGAACGCCTCGACCCATCGTGCTCTCGTCATTCCGAAAAACGAGAGATACAGAGAAAGAAAGAGAATGAGAGAGAGAGAGAGAGAGAGAGAGAAAGAGAAAAATAAAGAGTGAAAGCAACAAGACCTACGACGAAAGGGACGAGAGCATGTCCTTAACCTAAGGACGTTTCTAAATCTTTCCAGAGAGATTTACGACGCGTTAAAATCGAAATTTGAGAAATCACGAAATGGAAATGAAGATAGATGGTATGTATCTTGAAGAGAATCGATAGATATTTCGTTGGAAATTCTGGGGTATCCTCGTTCGATCGTCGACCCCAAGAGAGAGAGAGAGAGAGAGAGAGAGAGAGAGAGAGAGAGAGAGAGAGAGAAAGAGAGAGAGAGAGAGAGAAGAGGATGGCACGCGATAAATCGAGGCACGCCGATGATCGCGCGCGAGCGCGTCAAGCGAAAATGTCTTCCTCGAAGGCGAGGCTTCTGGCTCTATTTAGGGTGACCAGCGTGCAACGTCGAAATAACACGCGCATATGGCCGCCGAAAATAAACTCCTCCTTATTCCATCCTCCGTCGAACCGAGGACCGACTCTCTCCTCCTCTTTCTCTCCTTTTTCACCTCCATACTTCTCCGTCTCATCGTTCCACTTCTTCGGCATTTTGCGAGCCACGCTTCGTTCCTCTCGTCTTCTCGAAGAAGAGAAAATTAGAGCCAGAGATAGAGATAGGGAGAGAAAGAGAAAAAGAAAGAGAGAGAGAGAGAGAGAGAGAGAGAGAAAGAGAAAGAGAGAAACATTTATTTGCTAACTCTCGGTTACCCCAACGTCAAGCGCATAAGGAGAAGGGGGATATCCTGCGTTATCCTCTACCTCCTCCTCCTCCTCCTCCTCGAGTATCGCTTTTCACGGTCACGGGATCTTACGATATCGAACTCTATAGCCCCTGGTTCACCGCAGGTTCTCTGTTTGTTAAGTATCTATAGTACTATGCATCCCTAAAGGATATATAATTGGTAGAAACTTAATATGCCCTTTCGTCAATGAATATAATATATATATATATATATATATATATATATATATATATATATATATACACATATATTCTATGTCTATGGCCTATCATTTTTCAAATGCTTTCAAATTTGTTTGATTTATATCTA